GAGAGAGAGAGAGAGAGAGAGAGAGAGAGAGAGAGAGAGAGAGAGAGAGAGAAAGAGAGCTAGAGGACGGCCCGAAGAAGGAAAGATACCTTCCTTTCGATAGTGATCACCCGCAGAGTAATCTCGTTATTTATATATTGCAAAAATATTAATTATGCAAATAAAACGTGCCTGAGTATTTGAAAAGAGCTATCTATAACTTGTATTTATTTCTAATTATAAAATAACTGTTAATGTTAATGGTAACTTTTACAAGACATAAATCACATTAACTAGTATAGCAAAAAAAGAAATGTTTTTTAATACAATATGGCGCGAATTATAATTATATTTTACAACGATTATGTTTTTTCAGTTCTATTTATCGTTTGTATTGTCACACGATGTATTGCCACGCGAGATAAGCTGCGAGAACATTTGTTAGTACCAAAAAGTTTTAAGCGTCCGATATTGACGTTGTTGATTTATAACGTGGATAATCTGGAAAATCTGCAAATCGAGCTCACGGATTCCTCCGGTGTCGATATCTGCTTCGTTAAAACGTCGTCTGGCCGTAATTAGCGACGTCAGTCTGGCCGCAACGAAACGGGCGACGATTGCGGTGGTCGACGAGAGATATCATCCTATGAACAATGGCCAAATGTTAATTGTTGTTAATAAAGAGTCATGTATGTTGCTGTTGCAACGGCGAGCAGAGCCGCGGAAGAGGCTGCACCTGTACCAGCCGTGCGCGAAGCGCAAATACACCTGAAACCTTTGACCTTTTCATCGACGCTCGCCCCTACCGCCGCCGACCATCGATCTCACCCTTTCACCCACCCCTTCGAACCCTTCGAACTACAGAATCCCGTCAGAAATTGCCGCTGCACCGAGTTATTGCGTTGACGCGCGTAAGAGCGACGTCGCGACAGTGCATCCGATTGTTCAAGGATGTATACCTCGCAGATTGCAATGTAATGTTCCGTAGTTTATCCGATTGTGCGATGAAGGAACATATATTGAATACTATCGGAGTGCTGGAAATGAAAAGAGAGCTTGTACTATAGGGAGAAAGTTAAAGATACTATTGGGAATAGTTACGTTGTTGTGATATAACAAGATATGATATTATCAAGGAGTACACGTATTTTGTTGTGCAAGATTATGCAAAAATTATTCTACGTTTTTATAAATAATATGTTTACAACTAACCTTTGAAACAGAATCTCTTCAGCGGGCGCAAGCGGAGCGTGGTCCATCCCTGGCGTTTCTATAGGGCGTACTACTTTTGCTTTAATTGCAGCTGTGAATATAGCGTACTTTATCTACCTATCTCGAAGCAGGCGAAAGGTTCGTTGCGCGTGTCAGTAGAACGGGTTTGGCCCGGTCCTAAATAGCCATCAATCATCGCCAAAATTCGGCAACGTGTCGGACAACACGAGCGGCAGGATACTATCACCAAAGTAGAGTTCTCCGGGACCACGTGGCTAGGGGAGCACGGAGACGAGGGAAAGGACCGAGTGAGACGTGGAACCCGTTCGATACTTCCGAAAACTCGGCCCAACCACTCTACGTTCCGCTGGCATTCACACGAATCCACCGTGTCACTAATACAAATTCGATCCGCGCGGTTAAGAACACGCAAAGCAATTCAGTCGAGCGGGCAGCAGAACGAGATACGTTATTCGTGAAGTCAGATTTAAAAAAGTTCATAAAATGGAGATTTAAAAAAGCAGTACATAAATATAATATAGTTGATAAAAACAAATCTTTACCTGTATAAATTAAGTGTGTCTTTAAGTGACGGAGATAGGAGAAAGTGAGCCTAGCCCGCGACGAGAAAAAAGTCTTTCTTCTGGCTGGCCAATGCATTTAAACAGAATCACCGGGATCGAAACTGGCGATTTCCGAGCCGGAAATTATCCGTTGTCTGACTGGGGAGAAAATCAACCGTGGGTCGACTTCAGGACTAGCGTCAAAGGTTTTAAGAGAAGGTGGCGGGAATAAAATGCGAGCAAGCTGAGGCTCTTTTAAGAGATATACTGAGAAAGAGAACTTGAGGTGCAATTATTTGGAAAGAGAGACGCCAGACACGCGATATCTATATTATACGCGAAAGAACAGACATAATAAACTTAGTCGGAATGCTACAAGATTGTTGAATCAGTTTTCTTCTTTCGGATTTAAATTGTAGTTTTCAGTACGATAAAAATTGTTGAACTAATAGATGTCACGTCTGAAACATAACAACCTTTAACTTACACTTTGACACTTTTAGCCACAAATTTTATTTCTTTTTTTACATAACTCACAAATTGCAAGAAAACTTTTTTTATAAAGTCAAATTTTAATTTCTCTTTCTTCTCTCTTCTCCCATACACATACACACAATTATTCTTTTTTTACGTTCTTCTTACAAACCTCCAACTGTTATTTTATGTCTCCAACTGTTATTATATGTACACATGCATTGACAGATCAAATAAGTTTGACGTCTCGTTATTTCCTGTCCATGCGTTCGCGTTTTGTAACAAACAGAAAAATATATACAATCATAATAAAAATATTCACGAATACGTCAACGGCAGATTTCAATTAGATCAAACCGAGCGCATTTCACCTCTCATCCGATGCAACGGCCGATGCAGTTAACGCGATACTGACGGCAAGCAAACGTCCGAAGGTCAGAACTAGAGAACAGCAGAAGGAAACCGGTGATCTTGCTTCCGGTATAGCTCGAGAGCGTAATTAGATATCAAGTTATACGTTTGGTGCACGCCTCTACTCGACTTCAAAGTCCCGCGAACTTCGCACCGGCCATCCAAGCCGCGGCAAAGGTTTACGCACCACTTAATTAGGGAGTGTATCCGATGCGCGCTGCACATGTTATTTGCATTTCAGACGAACCGGTCCTAATGACACGTTGGTGACACTTATTTGCTTGCATAAATCATGCAGGCTTCGGGCAGCCGAAAAGCGCACGCAGAACTTTGCTGGGGAACCGATGTTCCGCATTCCCGAAACTTCAGTGCCACTTGTTGTTAAGTATACGAATACGTATACGAATACGTACAAGGTTGCTCGTATACGAACGGAAATTGCTCTCTATGCGTGCATAAAGTGTATTCGCCAGCAAATATGTGGACGGTTGCAGTACACTGCTGCTTTGGGTGATCTATAATTCGCGACGAAGTTTGGAATTGAGACCTGTCTATAATTTGTATACCGCATATTGTACTTGGCGTCACAGCACTACCGTGCCGCTTGATTTGTATATGCATACAGCTCTGAACGCTGAAATGTCTTTGTTATGAGCAAGTCTCTTCTTCGAATTCTGTCGCAAATTTTAAATTGTCTCAACTGATCTTAGAAAACCATGGGGATAATTAATCGTATCTCGTTTGATTTATGGTAATAAAAATCCTCTTTAAGAGGCGATATTTGAAAAATATTTTTCTTCGTTAACTTCATTAACTTCTTCACTAATCGGCAGTATACTTTTTATTTTATCTAAAATCTCTCTCTCTCTCTCTCTCCCTCTTTCTCTCTCTCTCTCTCTCTCTCTATATATATATATATATATATATATATATATATATATATATATATATATGCTCTTTCTTATTTGACAACCAAACAAATTATACGCGCATTTGTTTTCTGTATCATATTGTTCTTTGCTAATAAAGCGACATTACGTCATGCTATCTTAGTTGGACTGTGTGTATACGCATGTACGTAACCTCAAGTCACCTGTCGTAACATACGTAATTGTTCGTTGTACATGTATCCGGGAAATATGCGAAATAAGAGCCGAATTATTCTTTATGTACTCTCGCGTAACTACCGTGTATCTTTCTTACGCGAAAGGACTGCGAAAGGACTGGACATCCTCACGCAACGCTTGCGCTCCAATTTTCCAGGCATGACTACCTGCCCGGCATGAATTGGAAGAGCCAGAATGACGAAGCATGCAAGAAGGAAGATACGTTATCCATCGGACGTTACATACCATTTCTGCTGGCAACACTCAAATATGCCCGAATGTGTCCTGCCGAGTCATTCTCGATGTCTAAAATAGTGGTTTTAACGGGATTAGTGGTTATCGTAATCGTATTAATACTTATGAATATACTGTCGGAAATTGCTGTAATTACAATGGGCACGAATGAAGTCGCTGATGTTATTGGCGTATTCACTACGCATTTCAATGGCTTATTGAAATGGAGTTATTGTACAATAAAAAATCGAAGACTGTTCGATCTCATCTTGAAATTGGAGAAATGTCATGTGCTTTGTCAACGTATCGACAGTACCAAGGAAGGTACGTAAGCTACCCATTGTTAAAATACAATTTTTAAAGCGCGTATATTACCGCCTTGAGAATATCAGAATAAAAAAATATAATTATTGCTCATGACTTACTGCACCACCCTTCAAAACTACGAAATATATTAAAACTTTTGAATATTTTCTACTTTAATTTTCTACGCTCTTCTCGTATATATGCTATCGGTTTATTGATATTTCATAAAGTGTTTTTTAATGTTTCATTAATGTTTATTTCGACAAACCCAGATTACTGAAACGATAATTTTTCAGGGAGTGAACTTTATGAAAGTAAAATTGGAAGTGCACGACAGCACTCCAATTTTTTCTTCTTATGGTGGTTATTCATGTGTGTCTTCACAGTTATACAGTGGTGTGTCATCCCGCTGCTATTAGGAACTTACAAATCTTACTTGATCAATGATACATTTACAGACAGAGATTTGCCTTATATCGCATGGTTCCCATTAGATATCCAGAATAATTTTAATTATATTTTCTTATATCTGGTACAGACAATCGGAATGTTGACTTGTGCTTTTGGAATTGTTTGTTACGACTCCTTTTATGTTTCAATGCTAATTGCCATATGTACCCAAATTCAATATATCAACACGATATTAGCCAAAACCGATTTCATTGAAAACACACGGTAACGTTATTACATTATTAACATTAATATATTTGTTCGTTCTTGAATAGTTTTGTTTCTGAGATAAGTTATTTTTTTATTAAATAAAAAGTAAACGTTAAACTTGCAGAGTACCAGAGGTAGTATTCATCCTTAAGAAAAAATTAAGGAACTGCGTGGATTGCCATGTAGAGATTATAGAGTAATATCTCCACTACCAATAATTATAATGCTTGAAACAATTGTAGGAAAACTTTAATATAACTTTATGTAATTATATAGAATTTTCATAAAAATCTATAACTATATATATTCATAAATTCTGAAACCTGATACGAGTAGCAACATTTTTGAGAGAAACATGTTATTCTAGATTTTTAGAGAAGTTACAAATTTTTACCAGTCCGGTGATGTTCGCCCAATGCATCATAACGTTATTTATCATTTGTTTAGTCTCGTTCGAAGTGTCGGCGGTCAAATTTACGGTAGGAATTATCTTATCGGCGTGTCCGATATACGGTTATTCGACTCTATTGTACATAATCTATGTTGTTCTTTGGAGTTCGAATAATTAAACTATAATATAAAATTCGCATTCCAACAGTTGGACAAAGAAAATGCCTTCGCATTGTTTAAACTATTCGGTTACTTCTTAGCCGCCGCTCTTCAATTGTACTTCTTCTGTTTCTACGCCACTCAAATTACATATTTGGTTAGTTGTGTACATAAAAGTATTAAGTCATCTTTTTTTCTACTGACTTTCTAAGATTTTTCTGTACAGAAATGAGATCTGTACAGAATATCGGAAATCAAATTGCTATCATATTGATTTTAATATGTTATGCTATTTCAGGCATTGCAAATTCCTCATTCGGTGTATTCCTGCGGATGGGAAATTATAATTTTCGAAGAGAAGAAAGAATCAAGTACTAAGAAACAATTTCAGTACAGTGATATCAGTAGATTAGTACAAATGATAACGATACAAGCACAGAGACCGATTGTCTTGACCGGCGGCCCATTTTACATACTTTCAATGGAAACTTTCAGAGCCGTAAGAAATTAGATATTGTGTTTACGGAATCATACGGATTCTTTTCACTGTCGCAGACTCGTTTTTACACATTACTGAAGGCGTATCGATCACATATGTCAATCGTTCAAATTTTATTTTCCTTTTTCTCACAGCGTTATATATCAGACAAATTAATAAGAAGGCTTATTTTATGTTTGGCACACCCTTACAGCGTATTTTGATTAAGGCCTATTTACATTAAATATTATCGTAAAAAAGTAAATATTAAATATAAATATGGATCACAATTGTAATAAATTCTAATCTGTTCATATAATTATAACAAATAATTGCAAGTTTCATTCTTAAACATATGTGAAAAACTTATGTTACAGATCATAAGTATGGCATTATCAAATTCTATAATGCTACGCCAACTCTCTGACTCCGGATGAATATGAATAAGAGCCAGTAGTTATCATTATCAATCACAAATCGTTGTGTTTTTAAGATATTGTTTTGTACTTGTTATAAATAAATAAATATATATATATATATATATATATATATATATATATATATATATATATATTATATTGATATAATATTGAAATCAAACTATGTATGTGATAGTCGATTGAGAATAATATATTCCACAAATTATAATGTTGTTCCCTGTTTATGCAAGAGATATACATACACATTAACTGTAGCACTAATAAAAATTCGAATCTGCGCGGCAAAAAACACACCAACTTGGACGACTCAGACAGTCGAGTAAGAAGCAGAATGAGATACATTATTCGTAAAGTCCCAAAGTGGAGATTTAAAAAAGTAGCATAAAAATAACACATTTGTGACAAAACATCTATGATCAAACAAATATGAGTTAAAGGAGTTTCCAAATAGCGGAGGTAGGAGAAAGATTGCGTGAGTTCGATTCGTAACGAGAAGAGAGTTCTCTTTCCTCTGGTAGGAACGGGATGGATCTAACTAGTCAATGCATTTGAACAGAAACACTGGGACTGGAACTGGCAGTTTCTGAATCGAAAATTATCTGTTGTCTGGCTGGAGAGAAAATCAACTGATGGTTGATTGCGGCTAAATAAATTGTGATTATTTCTCTTCTAACACATTTTAAACAAAATATAAGATAATTTTTTTATACAATCAAATTCCTCTTTCCGACGCATATATACACACAAGATTATTTTTTTGTTACGTTCATCCTCTAACAAACCATCACCACGTGTCCAGACATATTGAAGGATTAGATAAGTCTGATGTCTCATTATTTCCGCCCATCGTATCAAACCGAAATATATATATATATATATATATATATATATATATATATA